AACTTCGCCCAGTGATGATATCTTTCTGAGGGCTTTGATGCTTGGTGAACTGGCTTAAGGTTTTAGCAGGTATGCTGCTGAGGCAGTTTTGCTAGTTTAGGTAATGGTTGGGACAAGTTTTTATGTTTGACAATGTATACAGGTTTATGGTTGATGGAGGGTTTACTGGCTTATTTTGTTAAGGTTCTGCTGGCCTTTTGAGGTAGGACTTATGCAGGTTGTGATTTTAAGGTTATGACAGCTGGTTGGATTCTTTAGGCTCAGCAGGTTTTAGTTTTATGGTTGAGGCTCTTTGGATTTAGGCAGGTTGTCATGGTTTGAGCAGATGTAAGGGTTTTGTATATTTGCTTGTGTTTTTCTTGTGGTTAGGCTTATGCTTGACAGTAGGGTGGTGTTGGACTTGGTTCAGGACAAGTCTTGTGCTTGCTTCAGGCAGGTATCATGGCTTGGCAAGTTTGTATGGTATATGGCCTTGACGAGGCTTTTTGTTTTTTGAGACAGGTACAGGCTTTTGCTGGTTTATGATCTTAGGCCTTAAGGGCTGGACAGATTGGTATGGAGGTTATGCTGGTTACTTTCTTCTGGTTAGGACTTGGTTGAGATGTGTATGTTTTATGTTTGACAGGGGTTCTGCTGCCTTTCTAGTAGATGGAAGGTTTTGGTGTTTTGGGATGGGTTTTCTGGACAGTTATGATGCTGAGGCAGTTTTGTATATTTTTTCTTTTCTGAACTGTGTTTGTTCTTCTGTTATATCTTTGTTTATGCCCTGCCTTTTCTACCTAAGCCTAAAAACCTGCCTCTATCTCTTCTTTTTCTCTCTCTATAGTACAGTTGGATATTATAATATGATTCTTTTCTGTACTATTTTTCTGAAAGGGCTATCTGATGGGAAATGATGAAAAAAGTTTCTTGCATAAAAGATTTTTTCTGCATATATATCTCTTCTTGACAGCTTGTGTGCTTTTTGATATCTTCCATATCTTTGCCAAATCTTCTTTTGACAGCTTGGGTAGATTTTGTATTTTTGACAGTAAGTTTGTACCTTTGGCTTTTGATAGAAAGTGGGAGTTTGGATTTTAGTTGGGTTTGAACTTACTTCTGAACCATGCAGTTTGACATTTTAAAATTATGCATTTTGACATTTTGCATTCATGATAAAATTCTTCCCTCTTTGTGAACCGGGAGAAATCCCGCGATTTGCAGAGAGGGTTAACTGATCCCAATCAGTGGCCCTTAATGATGATTGTAAATTTTATCTGTTTTTTTTCAATTTAACTGCTTTTTGACTTTCTCTTTTTTCTTTTGCAGATGAAAAATGGAGCACCGGAGCGAAGTGAAGAACGAAGAATTAGAAATAAATAGGATAGTTTTCCCCTTTATTTAAATTTAAATCAATGTAAAAACAATGTTTGTAATTAAATTCCAAACATCAATTGTACAGTTAATTTAAAGATAAATAAAAGTTTCCATTACCCAGTTTAATTCTATTTTCTCTCTTCATTGTTTATTTATTTATTTAAAACTCTTTGAATCAAAATAATTGAAAAATAAATTTCAATTACTTAATTTAGAATAATAAATAATTTAAATAAAACAATGCTTTAGTAATTGACCAATTAAACCTGTCCTTTCCAATATCCAAAGCAAAGCAGCAGTTAACCAAAATAAACTGATCAAGCGCATTCCTTTTTTCACTGATTCTTTTGCCAAGCACTGTAATTCCAAACTGCATATTTCTTTTGACTGACTCAAACAAACCAACGTGAATTCAAACCAACTGCCTCCTCTGCTGATTAAATCAAAACAATGCGAATTTAACCCGAATCTCGGAATAAACGGCAAAGTGCTGTGGAATTTAAATCTCTCCGAGAATATGCCCATAAAACTTTAATTCCTGATTAAATGCCAAATAACGTTCGCCTGATCAAAATTGAACCAAAATCAACCAAAACCCTAAGCCAACTGTGAAACAAACCAGAGTCCTGAAAATCAGTAAAAACCCTAATTTCGCTTGACTGACAAGAAAAGTCCGTTTGTCCGATTCTTGAGCTAGTTTGAAAAATCAGGAAATGCTTGAAGCTGAGATTTCTTGTGGAAAAATGCGAGGGCAAATTTTGGGGTACAACAGAGTTCAATAGGTTCCTCAAGCACCTCAAGGAAACCATCACCTTTAGAGGAAACTTTGTCAAACTTTATGAAAGCAACTCAGTAAAGTTCTGAACAAGTTAGTAAGACTCAAGAAGACATGTTTAATACGTAGAGGGAATTGGTAAAAAATAAAATCACCATGAATAAGAACAACGAAGCTTCAATAAAGAACTTAGAAATGTAAATAGGCCAATTGTATCAACAAATGGAAGCTCAAGCTAGTTTAAGTGAGGGATTTATAGGTAACATTGTGGATAACCTAAAAAAAAGAAACATGCAAAGCCATTGAATTAAGAAATAAAGTTTTACCTTTATAACCAAAAGTGAGTAAAGAAAAGAAAGAATTTAGGGAAGTTGAGAAAATAAATAGAAAAGAAGTGGCATTAGAAAATGAGGTTGAGAACCATTCCGAGGGATAAAAAAGTGAGGTGATTATTGAGGATGAAGTTAAAGGATACACCCTTGACCAACTAATAGATAAGAAACCACCCTTCAAGAGAACTAAGAAACAAATATGAAATGAACCAAATCACGAGCTACCTGATTACATCAAACCACCTTACCTGATTCTAAAGAAGAAACTTGAGAAAGAGACAGAAGTGAGTTAGCATAAAAAGTTCAGGGATATGTTAACAAAGATATAAGTTAATATTCCATTTTGTGAAGCTTGTTTATGCTAAATTCTTGAAAGATTCTTATTAGGAAAGCATAAGTTGAAGCATGCTGAAAACATCACTTTGGCGGAAGAGCCCAACACAATTGTTAAAATAAAGCTTCCACCCAAACTCACTGATCCAAGTAGGTTATTACTTGTTCTATTGGTTCACTAATGATTTTTCACATTTTCTGTGATTTAGGAGCTAGCATCAATCTGATATTGTTGTCTTTGATGATGAAGTTGAATTATGGTGATTCAAAACCAACTAAAATGACTCTAACACTTGTTGATTGGTCAATCACTTATCGTCATGGAGTTTTTGAAGATGTCCTAGTTAGAGTTGATGACTTCCTATTTCCCAAAGATTTTGTGATTCTAGACATGCCAAAATATTTTAAGACGCCATTACTCCTTAGAAGACCGTTCTTGACAACATGTAAAGCTCTCATCGATGTAGAATTGGATGAGTTAACATTTAGTTTTAATAAAGAAAAAGTTGTATTCAACGTTTTCGAAGCAAGAAACACCCAAAAGAAAACCCATAATGTTATGGGAAAGATGTGATATATGAAATTGTTCTTAAGGTAAGCTCTGCAAGTACACCATCACCACCAATGGATCGGGTTATTCTTAAGTAAGTTGAACAGGTGGAATATGTGTCTGATATGAAGGAAGCAGGGTGTTTGCTTCAACTTCAAGCAACTCGGGTTGATGATGCCACAAGAAAGATTAAGGAATTAAGTGGCAAGGAACAACAATGTCAACCACTAGCCCAAAAAGATCCTAAGCTGAAGGAACTTCGAAAGCACCTAAAGTATGTCTTTTTGGGTGAGAATCTATTGCAACCTGTAATCATCAACAACTCTGTTAGAATTGGAAGAAGAAAAATTGTTAAGAGTGTTAAAAGAAAACAATAAAGCACTTGGTTGGAGTGTAAGTGATCTAAAAGGAATCAACCCATATTATTACATGCACAAGATAAAATTTGAAGAAAAATTCGAGCCTATAGTTCAACCATAAATAAAATTGAATCCTACCATGAAAGAAGTAGTAATAAAATAAGTCTTAAAATTTCTTGAAGCATGTATGATCTATACGACTTCTGATAGTTCTTGGGTAAGTCCAGTGCATGTAGTCTCTAAGAAGGAAGGTAAGATCGTCATTTGAAATGAAAAAAACGAGTTAATTCCTAATCAAACTGTTACCTGATGGAGGATATGTATTGATTATAGGAGGTTAAATCAAGCAATGAGAAAAGATCATTTCCCATTACCTTTTATGGATCAAATGTTAGAAATATTATCAAGCCAAACTTACTATTGTTTCTTATGTGGATATTCGGGATATAATCAAATTGCTGTAGATCCTGTGGACTAGGAAAAGACCGTTTTCACATGCCTTTTCAGTGTATTTGCTTACTGTAAGATGCCATTTTATCTATGCAACACTCATGCTACTTTTCAAAGGTGTATGCTTTCTATATTTTTTGATATGATTGAATCATCTATTAAGGTATTATGAATGCCTTTTCTATTTTTGGTAATAATTTCGATAATTATCTTGCACACTTAAATGTTGTCCTTCAGAGATGCAT